CCTACCTCCACCAGGGCACCTGGCCTCACAGGTTGGGTACATCCTGGGACAGGGTACTCAGCTCTCAAGATGGGGTACATAGCCCCCAGGATGGGGTACAGGGCCGGTTCCTCAGAGACTGGACCCCCAGTCATTGCACAGCTGTGATTCCTGCCTGGCCCAAAGCCAAGCGCTACTGATTTGGGTGTTACTAGGTTTTGATCAGCTATCCTTTCCCCTGTCCATTTGTGCACACAATTAAGAATTAACTTGCTATACTCTCTCCTACTGTCGTGGCTCATAGACCTTCATGACTTTGGGGGGCTGTCTTTTCCTAACACCTCTGGGCAGTTGTTAGCAGGATTCATTTATTTACCCAATGGCTATTTACTCAGTGCCTCCAGGACGCCAATCCCCGTGTTAGGCTTAGGGATATGACAAGGAATACGGCAGGTCAGGCTGAATGTGCTGTGTGATGGGCAGGGGGTTGGGGTAGGTGGTCAGCAAGTCTAGTGAATAAGCAGATCCTTTCAGAGAGAGAGGATTGTGAAGATAATAACTTGGAGTCTTGGGACACCGAGTGACCAGGCGTCTCTTTAGCTAGACTCTGCTGATTGAGAATTTGAGGAAGGCTTCCCCAAGGTGCTAACTCACGATCTGAGAGGTGAATAATGAGGAAGCTGCCATGGAGGTGGAGTGACCTAGGGTAGGAACCTTCCCAGCCAAAGGCACAATCAGGGCAAGGGTCCTGAGGCAGCCGCCAACTCGTCCTATTCAGGAACAGAAAGAAGGTCTGTGGGGCCAGATGGGGCTCAGCTCAGTGAGGCTGTGAGATGTAGTGACAGATGTTATCTTGGGCCAGATCACTAGTGCCTTAGACATGGTCAATTTAAGGTGTTTTTTTTTTTTTATTTAATTATAGTAAAATATACATAACATAAAATTTGCCATCTTAGCCATTTTTAAGTGTATAGTTTAGTAGCGTTAAGCACATTGATACTGTTGCATAACCGACCTCCAGAACTCTTTTTCTGTTGAAAACTGCAGCTGTAGCCATTGAACAATAGTTCTCCATTCTGCCCTTCCCGACCCCTGGCACCCACCATTCTACTTCCTGTCTCTGAATTGGATTACTCTAGGTACCTTATATCAGGGGGGTCATACCATACTCTATTTGTCTTTCTGGGACTGGCTTATTTTACTAAGCGTAATGTCCTCAGGGTTTATCCATATTGTAGCATGTGTCAGAATTTCCTTTCTTTTTAAGTCTGAATAATATTCCATTTGCTGTATCTACCACGTTTTGGTTATCCATTCATCTGTGGACAGATACTTGGATCACTTCCCCCTTCTTGGCTATTGCAAAGAATGCTGGCATGAACATATATGCATAGTGATTAAGTTCTTGAATGTTCCACTTTCCACCCATGAGGTTAGGCTGGGCATGGTTTGGGTGGCACAGAGTGGAGGGGCTAGCCTAGCTGGATGCCCCTTCCCCGTAAGGGTAGGAGAGGCCAGGTGCATAGAATCCTCTGCCGCACTGATTGAGCCAGGAGCCGTAAGACTGGGCCTTTCAATCATCCTGGGACGAGTGGAGCTTTTCTCTGCATCTAAAATGGGAGCCATAAACCAGGCTGACTTACAGGCAGTACTTACTGGTCTGGGTGTTTATGGCCAGTGTTTTTTCCTGATTGGTTGATGTCTGTACTGTGCCTGTTGTTAAATATTCGAATATCATTCTGCTATAAACCAGCCACAGGACTTCTAACCTGGCTGTGTGTGAGTGTCTCCTACAGGGAGAGTAGGGGCTGCTGTCGAAAAGTTTACACTCTGGGCTTCCCACTAGCCAACCCAGTCAAGAAGGCCTGAGAATTTGCATTGTAAAGCTGTACAGTAGTTCCAATGCATGGTCTTAAACATGCATTGGAAGTTTGGGCTTCCCCAGAAATAGACCTTGTAATGAGGACTTAAGTGCAAGAAGCTTACTGGGGAGGAGGTTCCAGGAAACACAAGTAGGGAGTGAGGAAGTGAGACAGGAAGGGAAGGAAGCCCTAAAGATGTGTTATTGTCAACCAAGTTGCCAGTGTAGAACACGGACCGCTGAGTTATGCCCTTGAGAGGTGCTGGAGCTGGGCTGTTTACCTACCTTATCCACAGAGCTCTGAAAACCCCACCAGAAAGGAAGGATTCCAAATTCTTGGAATTTTATCTAGAAAAGAAGGCTAAGCAGCTTTTGTAAGTGAACTTTTAGGAGGGTTCTAACATGAAGATGATAGCTAACATTTTTGAGCTCTAATCATGGTAGACAAGGTCATCCTTATCTATCATCTTCCACAATCACTCGGTGAGCTCTGCTACGGGGGCATCCATTCCCAGCACTTCCCGGACGTGCTGTATTTAGGAGGAGCAGTCTCTGATGGCCAGAACCCCTTGGGTGAACACTCACAGGTGCTGGCAGTTAGCAGTCAGGCTGGTGTGTGTGGAAATGTGTGTGCTGAGGGATAGAGGGCAGGGTACCAATAGCATCTGTTGTGGAGACCCAGCCAGCTCCCATCTCTCTATCATAAGAGGGCGTTCCAGCCCCTGTGAATAGCAGGGTATCCTCCTTACCACTGAAAAAACACCAGGTCTCATCCATTGCTGATGAGAATGTAAAATAATACAGCCACTATGGAGAATACTTTGGCAGTTCCTCATTAATTTAAACATAGAATCACTATATGTTCCAGCAATTGTGCTCCTAAGTATACATCAAAAATAATTAAAAACAGATGTTCAAAGAAAAACTTGTACATAAATGTTCATGGCGGCATTATTCCCAATAGCCAACAGGTGGGAACAACACAAATAGCTGTGAACTGATCAATGAATGAACAAAATGTGTTACATTCACACAATGGAATATTATTCAGCTGTTAAAAAGGAGTGAAGTACTGATACATGCTGCAACATGGATGAACCATGAAAACATTTAGCTAAGTGAAAGAGATCAGACACAAAAGGCCAGATATTGTGTTGTTTCATTCATATAAAATCTCTAGGATAGTCGAATCCATAGAAACAGAAAGTGGATTCGTGGTTGCCAGGGGCTGGGGAAGGGAGTCATGGGGAGTGACTGGTTCGTGGGCATGAGGTTTCCTTTGGAGATGATGAAAATCTTGTGGAATTAGTGGTGATGGTTGCACAGCATCATGAATGTACCAAATGCCACTGAATTGTGTACTTTAAATGGTTGAAGTGGTAAATTTCATGTGATATGTGTTTTACCACAAATTTGTACAAAAGGAACTCCAGGTATTCTCCAGCCCTGAGATGCAAGGTATATTCTGTTTCTCAGGTGGGAAGCAAACCTGTGTGGCATGTGTACCCCAGGGTCCCCCAGCCAGAGATGATTCTCCTGCATGGCTATAACTAAGAGCACTGGGCTGGAGCTGAACCCCAGAGATTGGCCTCACTCTTGTAGGAATAGCACAACCAGAGGTTGCTGGAAACCTCCCCTAGTGGAGAAACAAGCCCTGCTTCCTGGAGAAGCCAGGGCTGGGCCCAGCTTCTGTAGAGAGGCAGAGCAGCACTGGGCGGGGGAGTATGTGCCCAGCTGGAAAATTGCGGGGCGTCTTGTCTTAAATATAATATTAAATCGGCACCTTTAATTAGTACACTTAGAAAAGGTCACTAGCAATTACCTGGGACACAAAGAAGGCATGAGCAGGCAAGAACCCGTGAGGAAGCTGAAAAGGACCATTTTGAGCAGCACATAATTGAGGGGAAAATGGATAAAAGTCCAGGAAATTACAGGGTGGGTGACAGCAGCTGATGGCCCCATCCCTGTCCTGCCCAGCGCCCCACTTCTTGGGAGGACCTGAGCGTCAGACCTGAGAGAGCCATTTGGGATATTGAACCCAGTCGTGCAACCTTGGCTGGAAGGCCAGGATGGTCTTCCCAGAATCCCCTTGGCCAGCTGGGAGCTTGGCCCCAGATCCCCCACCTGGGCTGGGCCCTGAGGTACAGCAGGTGAGGACTGCGGTCCAGTGGACTGCAGGCTGCCGTGGACTCATTGTTGCACCTGGACAAGTAAGGCGCTTATGGGCCTCAGTTTCCCCATCTGGAATCTGCCCAAGCCTTTGGGAAGTAACTCAGTATTTCTCAAACTTTGCCACTAGAGAATATCTGAGAGCAATGGAAAGGAAGTGTATACTCCTAGAAGTCAGGGGAGGCTGGAAACTCATTTACGGCTTTAGGTTATATCTTTACAAATAAATTAAACATAAATAAATTAGGCCGAGCACGGTGACTCGCACGTATAATCCCAGCACTTTGATAGGCCAAGGTGGGCAGATCACTTGAGGTCAGGAGTTCAATATCAGGCTGGCCAACGTGGTGCAACCCCATCTCTACTAAAACTACAAAAAATTAGCTGGGCATGGTGGCAGATGCCTGTAATCCCAGCTACTGGGGAGGCTGAGGCAGAAGAATCACTTGGACCCGGGAGGTGGAGGTTGCAGTGAGCCGAGATCGTGCCACTTGCACTCCAGCCCGGGTAACAGAGCGAGACCTTGTCTCCAAAAAAAATTAATTAATTAATCAATCAAATACTGCCCCCAGTGTCTTCCCATTTGTTTTAGTATAAAACACTTATTTGTCATCAGGCAATGAAAATGCTTTGGAAAGATGTGCTTGGTTTATCTGTGGCTTTCACATACTTCCTCTTACACTATCGAGAAAGAGCAATGAACTGGGAATCTGGGAGTTTGGAAACCTGGGTTTGAATCCTGCCTTTGTGGCTTACCATTGTACTTTGGACAACTTGTTAAATGCCTTCAGCTTTTCCAACTCTGAAATGGGAGGGTTGGGTTCTGAAGATGTTCCACGATTTTACTCCTCCATCTCACCTTCTCCCATCACCTTGGATGCTGCCATTTCCTGCTATGCTGTTCTGCTGCCTGACCTTGGAGAAGCTGCTTCACCTCTCTGAGCCTCAGCTTCCTAATCTGCAAAATGGGTAGAATAACAATTATCAAACAGACTTGCTGGGAGGATTTAATGAGAGAATCCACATGAATGGACCTTGTGTCTGGCATATCGTAAGAGCCCAGGGAATGCCCAATGTCTTCATTTTCCAAATCTTGGGCTACCTGTTAGGATCTCATAGATCATGTCCATGAAGTCCTGAATCTTGAGTTTACATATTGAGTGTTGAGATGTTTGTGCTGTGGAAACAAATGTAGACTCTGAGCCCCAACTGCCCGGGATGTGGATTCCAGCTCTGCTATTTGCTGACCGTGAGGCCATGGTAATCACCTCATCACTTTTTGTTGCCTAACCCGTTAAATGGGGAGAATCGCATTATGGACTGAATTAGTGCGTGGAAATAGCTCAGCTTAGGCCTGGCTTATGATTTGGGCTCAAAAATGTTAGCTAGCGTCATCATGTTAGAACTGTTCTAGAAGTTCTTTTCTAGATAAAATTCCAAGAATTTGGAATCCTTTCTTTCTATCTAGCTTGATTTTCAGAGCTATCTGGTAAATGTGAGAGTCAGTATTTGGGGCAGGTGGTGTCTGTCTTGTTTTATAGGGGAAACTGAAACCTGGAAATAAGTGATTTGCCTAAGGTCATGGCTCCGATCTGCTCACCCCTTTGAGAATCAGATGAAGACTATAGACACTGTCTTCGGAAAATGACACACTGTACACTCACAACATTTTGTGTACCGTTCCAGTGAGTTTAAGGACCTCCTGGAGCTAAGGAGACCAACCATCCCAGTTTGCCTGGGGCTTCCTGGTTTTAGCAGATGTGCTGGGAAATGCTTCAGTCCTGGGCAAAGCAGGGCAGTTGGTGACCCTACCTGAAAGTTACACAGGGGAGCTGTGAGCCCCAGGAGAAGATGCCCTTTTCTTCTTAGGGAGGGTATAGGCCAGGCATCCTGAAGCCTAGGCGCCCTCAGGCCAGGGCTTTGCTTTCTGGTAAGGGATGACACCTGCCTCTCAATCCCCTTCTTGAGGATGGGAACTAGACCTTGTCACCTAGTTCTAGACTGGAGTTCCTTGAGGCTGAGCTACATCTTCTTAACCTCTGCATACTCCAGTGCTCATCATAAGGCCAGCACCTGGTCACTCTTGAATAAATGCCAAAAGATTTTGCAAAGTATTCTGAATTAGGAAAGGCACTTCCATTTGCAAAAGACAGAAGTCCAACTAAACTGACTGAGGCCAAAGAAAAGGTTGCAAGGGTGATTATTAGCTCATATAGCTGGAAAGTCCAGAGGGTGGAGCTAATATCAGGCACAGCTGGTGGCAGATCCTCAGAAAGCCATCAGGAATCTGTCTCTCCATACATCATCTACCTCTATTTTCCTCCTTGTGTGTTTCATTCTCAGGCTCTTCTTGTGTGGTGCCAAAGATGGCTGCCCACAGTGCCAATGAGCAACCCCTATGAAAGAGAGCTCCTCTCTCCCAGTAGTTCCAGCAAAAGTCCCAGGGCTGGCTTTGATTGGCTAGTTTGGGTCACATGCTCATCCCTGAACCAATCATCATGACCAGGGAAATGGCACGCTCTGATTGGCTAGCACTGACTTATGTGCTCATCTTGGAACATAGGCCTTGAAATATTGGGGGCCTGTCCTCATCTGAGCCACTTGGAGAAGGAGGTCTTCAAATTAAAATCAGAGAAAGTGGGGCAGGCCGAAGTCACAACTGTGTTTTACACACCCAGAACATGGTGAGTGATGGTCCCCTGATACCATCATGACACACTGTGAAAAGTGGACCAGGGCAGAGGTGGGGTACCTGGGTCAGAGCCCACAGATGCGCTGGGGCCTTATGATGATCCGTGGCCTGCTGGAGGGTTGCTGAGCGGCCACTCCCTGCTGAGAGTTCAGCCACCTGGGCAAGGTAGGAAGGTATAAACCTGACCTCCCATATTTTCCCTCTGCTCTCTCTTTTGGCTACTCCAGGTTCTTCTGTGACCCAGTTACTGGCCCGAGACATGGACAATGACCCCCTGGTGTTTGGCGTGTCTGGGGAGGAGGCCTCTCGCTTCTTTGCAGTGGAGCCTGACACTGGCGTGGTGTGGCTCCGGCAGCCACTGGACAGAGAGGTATGACTTGCCCATACCCCTGCCCCAGTTCTCTCCTGGGGACAGGAGGAGACTCTGGGGGAAGGATGGCCCACCATCTTTTGGGGTCTTCCTCTAAGACTCCATTCTGACGCCGAAGTGGCATCTTTCTGCCTGAATGGTATTCCTCTTCAAGGGCCAATGCTGGTGTCCGGACTTAGGGTTGGCATGGGTAGTTAGAGGTGTCTCCAAGCAAGCAGCTACATTGGAGAGGCAAGAAGAACAGTGACCCTGGGTTCATCCCTTGTAGAATGGGGCCCCATGGAGGGTACAAGTCTACCCTACCCCGAGTAAATATTCCCCCAATATCCAGAGAAGCAGGAATTGACGACATGGTAGCCCTTAGCAAGTTAAGGTAAAGGTGTGAACACATCCCCAACCCTTACCCTCTTCTTGTGTTTGAGGAAGGAACCATAGAGGTGTGTAGTGACTTGCTCAGTGTCACACAGCATCTAGAGGCAGGGCCACGACTAGCACCCAGGATGCTTGACTTCTGTCTTTTATTGCTCTCTTAAAGCAAGGATCCATATTCCGCACTGCTTCCCTAACCCAAAGGGCAATGCTAGTATTTTAGGGAAGCCTTTGGATGCCTGGTTCCAGGCAAGCTCCTAGGGCAATCCTGGAGCCCCTCCCGCCCCATTTAGGGCCCAGGACCCAGGACCCAGGACCTCAGCGCTGACTAACTGCACCCCTCCCTCTCTCACTTTTCTTTCAGACCAAGTCAGAGTTCACCGTGGAGTTCTCTGTCAGCGACCACCAGGGGGTGAGTGTCCCCTGGGACCCTAGAGGCATGTTCCTGGGGGTCACAGGATTTCTGGGCCCCTAGGGTGGAAGAGACCAGAGTCAGGTGGCAGTGCTAATTGCCTGCCTTTCTCTTGCCAGGTGATCACACGGAAGGTGAACATCCAGGTCGGGGATGTGAATGACAACGCACCCACATTTCACAATCAGCCCTACAGCGTCCGCATCCCTGAGGTAGGAGCCACCAGGGTCGCCCTTGGGGGTATCGAAGACCTGCTACTCCCCAGACCACCAGGGTGTAGGTGAAGAGTCAGGTGGGGAGAACAGCTCTGGCTCTTCTGCCCAGACCGCAGCCCAGGTGCCAATTCTGAGCAGGTTGGTGAACATGCTGGTACCCCAGGGGTCAGGGCCCAGCCTGGGGTTGGGAAGAGCAGTTGGGCCGGTAGGTTGGGAGCCTCATGCTGGAGGCTGAGCCCCACACCTCCAGCTGGAGTCAATGGTGGAACAAGAGTTGGGAGAAGCGGGTGTTGTACCCTCTTTCCTTCCACTCATATCCAAATATGGGCCTTGGGCAGGGTGGGTGGGCAGGCCTAACACCAGACCTTCCTGCTTTGGCCAGAATCAGATCCCTCCAGGACTCAGGGAGCATACAGTTCTAGGAAGGGGCTTTCCCTAGCCCCACGCTCTCCACCATGGTCTCCCAGGCCCCTGTACTGTGTACTCTGAGTATGTTTGCATGAGTCCATGCATGTAAAATCAAGCCATTGCTGGTAATTGAGAAGTGCAAATTATTGCATTACAAACGGTTCGTTAATAAGCTGGCTGCCAGCTCCTGATGGCACCAGGGTTCCCACTGCTTGCGGCCCCTCGCCTGGGTGGCTGATGGCAGTCTTATGGTCTGGCAGTTAGTGATTCAAAGACTCTGAAGGAGGAGGGTAAAGGGCTTCTCGCTGGGTGTCCCTTGGGCCAGCCCTTGGGGTTTTGGGCTGGGGGTGGCAGTGAAGGGTTGGGTTGGGAACAATGGGAGATAGAACCCTCTGGAAAGACAGGTTGGCACCATGTCATTTGAGTTCTAACCCCTTGATCCAATGAATGATCAGGGAGTAAAAAGTCTTGAGAGAATATCATGGTCAGTTCATGGATGAGGCTGGGCATGGGAGAGTGACTTGCCCGAGGTCACACAGCTTTAACTTCGAGCCTCCTGGCTTCCAGGGCAGGCTTAGCCTGCCTCAAGGGTGACAAGGTCTTGCTCATACACCCCACTCCCTGGCCTCTGTTACTGAGCTGTGAGCCAAGGGTCCTGTGCTGGCACCAGATGGAAGAGAGGACACGTGTGCAGGTGGGGATGCAGCAGAGGCGCCATGCCCTTTACCTGCCTGGGGCGGGAGAGGACTGGGGAGCCCGCAGTCCTAAACATGGAAGCGCGGTGCCCTGAGCTGTGGCCAGTGTGCCCAGGGACTGCAGCTTGGCTCCTGCTCTCTCTCATTTGGAAGTCTCCCTAATTTAATTAAGGGTCTCTACGTGCCAGCCTGCACTCTGGGCCTGGGCTCAGAAACCAAGGGCATGGCTCAGAGTTAATGAGCCTTGGACCCATTGCTCAGCTGCCATTCTGGCAGGCATGGATGCCCTCTGTCTTCCCTCTCATGGGGCAGCAGGGAGCTGCACTGGCAAGGGGACGAGGGGTCACGTCCCTCCTCTCCCGCCCTTGGGCTGCGGGCCAGCCTTTTCCTCTCTCCTGCTTCAGGAGATGTGACTTCCAACACTCGGCCCTATTGGAATCCCCTGGGATTCTCCAAAGGCCTGTGCCTCCAAGGAGAGAGTCTCTTCAATCATTCATTCATTTATTTAACAAATATTTATTGAATGTCTGCTGTGGGCTTGGCTCTGAGCCAGGCTGTCGTTGTGCAGAGACCTGGGAGGCCGCAGGAATGTGGAATGACAGGAGTTAGAACTAGAGGCAGGAGACCCTGGGTCCAGCCCCTGCTCTGTTCCCAGCTTGCTGGGTGTGCTTGGGCATGTCACTTCACCTCTCTGTGCCACAGCCCTCCTTATCTAATGAAAACAAAGGACAGGTGGATACAGTGGCCTGCCTGATACCCATCTGACAAGGAGAGGGCAGCCTGAGAGGGGCCAGCTGCGAAGGACACACCGTCCTTGGAGGAAGGCCTATGTGGTTTACTTGCTCATGTGTAAACATCCCCGGTTGCTTTAGTGGCCTGATACTCGATGCCCTGCTTGGGGCTGCTCAGTGTGGCCAGTGGGGATGTGATATCAGCTGGACGGAAGCCTGGCCACTCCTGATCTGAGGCATCTTGGCATTGACCAGCCCTGGCCTGGTATGGTCACCTGAGCTGGAACCTAGCTGCCTGGCTCTGACCGCAGCTGGAGTACCAGCCCAGAGTCTACTGGTCCCTGGCCCGGAAATGAGCCCAAGGTTTCCTGCATGCATTCAGGTCACCCTGGAAACCCCAGGCCCCTGCTCTTTAGGGTGTGATTCAGCAGCAAAGGACCCTGCAAATGTGAACAGGGTGAGGGTGCAAGCCAGAGAAATGGGGTGGGAGAGCACTGCAGACCCTGTTAGGTGTGAATGCCAGGGTCTGCCAGGGTGATCAGAGAAATCTCAGCAGGCTTCCTGGAGGAGGTGGGTTTCCAGCAGAGTCTGGCTGAGGTAAGCAGTGGTTGCTCTTGTGCTGTTTCGTGGGAAGAGAGAAACTGGAGTCAGGACACCTGGGTTCTAGTCTGCTGGCTTCAGGCCCTACAGCTTTCAAACTAGGGAGTTGAACCCAGCCCCTTCCAGGGCTGACATCACATGATGAGAGGACAAAACCCAGCAGGAGAAGCTCCTTCCCATCCTTCAGCACCTTATCGTTCTTTGCAGGATGGCGGAGAAGCTCTGGTGGCCACCTCCATCCATTCAATTCCTCTCTTGGCCATCTCAGCCATCTAGGGCCCTAATAATGATGGAGACTATTGTGTGCAGAACCCAGGGACTGGCACAGGGAGAAAGTTACAAGGTGGCAAATCCAGGTCTATCTAAGGAAGAGCTTCCTAATAATAAGACTGCCCACACACACCCATGCACACACAGTCTGTGCCCCTGCCTTGCTGAGAATGTGCTGAGCTCCCCATCCCTGGAGTTATGCAAGCAGAAGTAGGAGGACCACTTCCCTCCAGCCGTCTAGCACTGCGTGTTGGGGAAGTGATGAATCAGAGGGTCCCAAACATGCCCCAGCAGAATTTCCCGGGGGACTGGTTAGGAAGCATATTCCCCACCCCCGCAGTTGTGAATCAGTAGGCTGGGGAGAGATAGTCCAGGAAGCTGCATTTTTAACAAATTCCTCTGGTAATGTTGAGAACAGCCAGGCCTGGGGAGCCTTGGAGGATCCCACTAGAGGTTTTCTGAGAGGTGCTGAGGGCAGCCCATCTTGGATGTGAACTTTCAACCCCTCCATGGCTGCCTGGAGACATGGCCCACCTGGACCCAAGTCCTCAGGCCAGGAACAGCAGGGAATGGGAGGCAGTTCAAGACCAGGCATTGCCCCGCTGCCTGCCTCTCCTGGGCCCCCACTCCCTCTGAAAGCTTCTGCCGGGTCCAGCCCCCAGCTCAGGAGAAGCCAGGCAGGTGTGTGTTTGGGTTTGTTTGTTCTGGTTCCCCTCCTGCCCACCCCACTCCCCTCACTAAGCTGTTCTCCATGTAATTATCCATTTTATCAGGGTGAAAGGCCCGGCAATTCACTTGTCGAAGTCCTAACGAGGCAGCGTAGATGCTTTCAAGTCCGTAAAGAAAAGGGAAATCCTGCTAGAATTGGCAACTTAATTCACCAAGCCAGCCTCGACAGACCTCATTAAGTCCCCGTGTATTCATTTCAAGCTAATGGCTGTCATGCTGACTGCTGTTTGATTTGCTGTAATAGACTTTTATGGCGTACCAATTTGCTCAAACGTGTTTGCCTGTGTCTGTGCCCAGCGGTGCTGCTCCAGTACCTCCGTTAGGGGCGCGTGCCTGCCTCACTGACCTTCAGCACTGCCCCCTCCCTGATCCTCCCAGGGCCACCCCCTCAGCCCTCCAGTGTGCCCCAGGGAGGTGACCCTGGTGCTGGGGTGTTTAGGCAGGAAGATGGATGTGAGGTTAGAAGTCAGGTGGTGCCAGGTGGCTCACTGGGTCAGGGAATCTGGAAGACCTGCTGGAGTCTCAGAGATGGCTGTGTCCTTGAAGTTCTGACAAGTTCAGCCTCTTTAGCTGGGCAGTCTAGGCCTTTATCCATCTAGCATCAACCTACCTTTCCCAACTTATTTTTCAGTATTCTCTTCTGCTATTCCTTCATATGAACTCTCCTGTCAGCCATAGAGTCAATTCAATGGCAATGGATACATATCTGTTTCTCTCTCTCTCTCTCTAACATACACACACACACACACACACACACACACACACACACACATTGTACTTTTCTAACTAGTACTGGAGTTCAGCCTAACTCAACTCTGCCTGTCCTTCAAAGCCCACATCTCACCTACCATGCTCGGATCTGACCTTTTTTTTTTTTTTTTTTTTTTTTTAATGAACACAACAAACATTTGTTGAATAGCTACAGGATCAGGGATTCTGAGCTGACTTGGGCATGCAGGGTAGGAAAAAGATGCTACCATTTGCCAGCCATGTGACTTTAGACAAGTGACTTAACCTCTCTGGATTTCAGCTTTCTTATCTGTAAGATGAGCAACAATATCTGTCTTGCAGGATTGCTATGAGAGAATGTAGCTAGGAAAAGTCCTTAGCACAGCCTGTGGCTCATGGTATATTCAATAAAAGGCTGGTGATTAAGACCAAGGTCTTTGTCCTTGGTGAAGGCAATTTTACTAAGAGAAAGACAAGTAAGTGAATGTCTAACTACATCTAAATGTATTAAATGCCACGGTAGCTTTGTATGTGCATAGTATATTGCAAACAGTGTGGTCTGTACATGGGGGCTATTTGTTTGGGGCCTTAGAGGCTGAGTAGGAGTTCGTTAGAGAAAGAGACTATGGTGTCTATGAATATCATTCACTTTCTGGGATCCTATAGCTTATTTTCATATATGGGAATTTCCCAGAGGAAAGTCAACTCTGATTTATGATTAGAGACACTGCTGAGGAGGGACAGTGGCTAGGTGGGTGTGTGTCCTTTGCAGGTCTCCACTGTTACCTCACGGAAATAAAGCCAGGCTGGAAGTGAGCCTCTGGGTCCCTGCCCAGGTCTCTGTGACAGGTGCTGCACAGATCCTTGTCCGATGGCCTCAGGTGACCAGCTTGAGGCAGGGATGAGGCTACTATGGGGAAGGGCTGGAGCTGGGGTGAGATCCTGGGAGCCTGAGAGATGGAGGGTCCTCGCCTGAGCCTCAGTGCTGGCTGGGATCAGGGTCAGAGCCAAAGCCATGCCTCCTGGCCCTGGGCCCCACTAACCTGAACCACCTCTCCATGTCCCTTAACAAGGATGAAAGCTGCTCATTCCCTGTACCTCCTTACTAGAGATGGGAAGGCGTAGAGAAGGGTATCCCTGGATGCCATTTGTCAATGAGATCAAATACATAATTTATTTCTCTGGTGACAGTAATAATAAATTTATTGTTGTTGTTGGTTTCCTGTGTGCCCAACACTGTTTTCTGCATGGAATCTCAGGGAGCCCTCACAACCACCTCCTGGGGCAGCCACTCCTGTCATTCCCATCCTACTGAGACAGACACTGAAGTAGGACAGTTACATGGCATGCCCAAAGCTAGTCAAGGGATGGAGCCAGGATCAGGAGGCAGGCCTGGGGTGGCACGACTTTTTGACAAGTAGCTTCACTTCTACCTGCAAAGTAGAAATAATTATACCTGCCTTGCAAACTTCATAGTGAGGATTAAAGTAAATGAGATCACTCATGTAGAGTGCTCAGCCCAGGCCCAGGATAAGTGCGTGCTCAGGAAATGGTTGTGGCTGTTGTTTGTATGTCCATCTCTCCCACCAGACTAAGCAAAGACTGAGCTTGGTCATCTGTGCATCCTCAGCACCCTGC